GTGAAAAACGCGGTATTCGCAGCATGAAATATGTTTCTTACTAGTGTTTTTCATATCACTAGGGTGGTGAAACTCCAGCATCGTGAAGATTTATGTTTGCTTTCCTCACCGGAGCTCGAGATTTTCTGTACTATTTATGAGAGTTTATATATACGAATTCGGTGTTACCAACACTTGTTGTTGACCATGTGCATATTTTTTCACCCGATTGTGGACATCGTATGAAATACTATAATTAAATTTTTCTCTATTATTTTATCGACATATACATATTCATATTCATTCCGTATTATATATTGGAGTTTTACGGCCACCCTAGTAATATGAAAAACATATTTCGCTCGACTACTGCATATCACCGTGAATATCGCCTAGTTTTTCACCGCTTCACGTAAAACTGGTTGTTGTGAAACTCCAATGTACCAGGATATATTACCCGAAAAAAGTTTCATAATTTTCACAATGACTGTCTGCAAAACGATTGAGTTTCAACCAATTCTTTTCTTTGTATTTTCATTTATCGTTTATGCAGTGATAAGCCATTTTATTGGATTTTCACCACCCTAGTGATATGAAAAACACTGGTGAAAAACATATTTCACGACTACTGCATAGTGCGAATATCGCGTTTTTCACAGAGTATTACGGCACTTCACGTAAAACGGGTTGTGACACTCGGCAAATTTTTTGTTCAATTTTGCTAAATATTCCTGAGCGTGTAAAACCTATAATTTTGGTTTTTCTCGTATGAGTGTCGATATTATAGCACATTGGAAAAACAATGTGTGTCGTAGCTGTAATAAGTGCATATGGAAAACAAGTAATATATAGCGTTTTTCACGTGGAGTAATACGTCACTAGGCGTAAAACGGGTGAAACTTTTGCCGCTTTCATCAGCTGAGCTCGACAGTTTGCTCACTAAATATACACGTTAACATACGAACCAGTGTGAAAGTGTATAAAATTTCCTCAGAATTCTAATTTTGACCATGTGCATATTTCCCCCCCATACTATTCGCGTCATTGAGAAATGCTCATGTTCATCATAGGTTCATAATCGTTGGGCGCGCGCAGTGAAAGATATGTCTGATGCATTGGGAAATACGGAGGAGGCGAAATTGCTGAATCTTCCGGTAGAACATGAGAATGATGACCTTGATGAGAAGATGGAGGAAGATATGCAGGAGACTGTATTTGGAAACGAGGGAGATGACGATCGATTTGGAGGTAATGTTGAATTTTAGGTCAATTTTCGAATGCGCGGAAATTCGGTTGCGGGTGATAATTTTCGATACTAGTGGCAAGTGAAGTTGATCAGGAGAGTATCAGTAACAGAACTGCAAGGTCAAATTTTGGATGCACTCAATTCATCCAGCCCTACTTACGGCCAGCTGTGAGCAGTGTTAGGGGAATATGTTTGTTTTTCTCAGCTGAGGTTAGAAAACCAGCAAGAATTGCCCAAAATTTCCTCGGAATTTTCATATTTTCACCAACACATGTAGTTGACCTTAAGTGAGTTATGTCCCCCAAGAAGCCCTGCATTGAAGAGAAAAATGGTATAGGGAAAAGGTTCAAGAAAGGCAACCCGCTACTACGAGAGCTGTTCTTGATGCATCACGGAGTTTCCCGTAGGGGTTAAGTAAAACGCGGGTACCCATGAGATGCGGTTCAGTTGAGGAAAGCGAACGCGGGAATGTATTTAGTTCTAGCGTGTAGTTGCGGTTGCATATATATATTTGATAACTCCGTTTTCAGGTGTAATGGTAACAACGTCAACGTCGTTATTCGATGATGATGCTGATGCTGTTGATGCTCGCATTGCTGAGTTGAGACAGGAAGTTGCTAAGGACGGTCATGACAATTCACAACCGGTGAAGAAAGTTGTCCCGAAGTAACATCAGGGAGTTTGGTCTGGTGGTAGAGCAGACGGCTGTTAATCCACAGGTCGTGGGTTCGATTTTTGGAGAGGTTGTTTTATTTTAGACGTAAATCAGGCGGAATGAAGAAGTTCGGTACGAGTAAGAAGATGGATAAGAGTCTCGGGAAGAAGAAAACTGTACATAAGAAGGGTGTCAAATCGAAGAGCAAAAAGAAGCATTGATATCACCAATACTACGTTTTACGTCAAAGAATATGATTGTTGAGTTTACTAGTCATTTGCATATAATGAGAAGCTGTATTTTTCTTAACTCGCGATGCGTATGGATATGTAGTAAACTACTAAGCTCACTAGGCTTGGAATTATCGGCCAGCAGTCCTCTTTACACCAACTAGAATGATAGATACTCATAGAGTATTATATAAGTAGAGAACACCCTATTGATGTTTCTTTTGATGGGAGAGGTTGGGAGGAGCCAGTACGGTAGACCTTTCACATAGGGTGACAGAGGTCTCCCCGTCCCTCTCTCCTGGGGAGACGGATCTCAACACGAGTGCAGGGTTGAAAGCACTATACTTAGTAAAGGTGTCTGAATCATCGTAGATCCGGTACCCGTGTAATCGCAAATCTTACTCTGCTTCTTCCTGCGCAGCGCCCCTCCGACCAGGCGAGTAATAGCCAGTATAGAGGTATAGCTGCAGGCTCAGTCACTGTATCGGTACAATGCTACACGCAATTCTGTGGAAATTAATTATTGGGCGAGCGCGTAATTTCGGGCGAGCGCGAAATCAATTAAAGAGTTGGTAACAACTAACTAGGTGATATTCTTATTATGAAGAGGAGCTACGTCCGTACGCTAAGTCGATGAGCGGAGCGAAGTGATTTTTCTTTCGATATGAAATGCAACCAGGGAGTCATCCAGCTCTCAGAAATGACGTTCCTAAGATCTCGCTTCCGAAACTAGGAAAAATGTGGAGTCTAATTTCGAGAATCGACCGAAAATATGTTTCTAGCCGTTTTGGAAGTCCAAAATTCGTTCCCTCTGGGAACGTTTCCGGAAGTTCCTCGATGACTCCTTGAATGGAGCGACGTACCTCTACGTATTTCTCGTTGCTTTCTGTTGAAGATGTATTCATGCCGCATCTAGATGGTTGAAGTCGCGCCGCGACAGAAGCTTATCGAAATGACAGGAGTCGACTGTTTATTCCAAGAATGGGAACCCTTATACTACCCCTACTATACCTTATATATATTAAAATTAAAATTATAATAATTATATTTTATAGTTATAGTTAATTGATATTAATTAGCTAATATATATATAATTATATATAATATTAATACCTATATTAATATCTAAGGTACCTTATATATTTCAAACCTAATATAAGGTTTAAAATATATAATCTTATAATCCTCGATATTCATACTTAGTCATTTTGGAGTTCACGATCATCGTCAGGGTTAGGTAAGCCATGAGGAAAATTAATACATAATACAAA